AAGAATGTCTACTAATATCGGTGACCATTCTATAAATGGAAGGATTGTGTAGATCGTGAGAGCGTACATAGTAGCGAAGGCAGTGGGCATCACGGCGATCAGACAAGGATGGAACATTAGCTTCTGTATAGAGGCTCTCAACAGGGGAAGAACGAAAAGCACCAAGGCACAAACGTAATCCTTGGTGATGGATAGAGTTAAGGCTAGAGAGAGTAGCAGGAGAGGCTGCGGAATAAATCTGGTCACCATAATCGAGTTTCGATAAAACGAGGGCTGAATGTAGGCGAAGCAGAGTTCGACGATCAGCTCCCCAGGAAAGATGAGCAAGGGTTTTAAGAAGGTTTAGCCGGCTGTGACAAGTTGCCTTCAGAGAGGTAATGTGAGGTTTCCAGGATAACCTACGGTCAAAGAGAAGGTCTAGAAACCTGACTGTATCACGTTCGGGGATATGGGAGCCATAGAGATACAAAGGATGATCGGAGATAACAGAGCGTCTAGTGAAAGTAATTTGGTGAGTTTTGGTACTTGAAAATTTAAACCCATGCGTGGTGGCCCAAGTGGAAACACGGTCGACCGCATGCTGGAGAGAAACTGCAATAAGATGACAGTCAGCGCCTGCACAAGCAATAGCAAAGTCATCAACATAGAGTGATGACCAAATATTGGGTGGAAGAACAGAGGCCAAATCATTTATAGCAAGGAGAAAAAGTGTTGTGCTTAGAACACATCCCTGAGGGACACCTTCAGCTTGGACGAAGTCCAGGGAAAGAACATTATTGACTCGAACACGGAAATATCAAACGAGTTAGGTAAAGAAAAATTGGATATCACATTGGTGGAAGGGAGTATGGAAGAAGTGAATGTATTCAGATATTTGGGAGTAGACTTGTTAGCAGATGGGTTTATGAAGGATGAGGTAAACCATAGATTTGAAGAAGGAAAAAAGGTGAGTGGTGCATTGAGGTATCTGTGGAGACAGCATTATCCCTGGAGTCAAAGAGGAGAATGTATGAGAGTACAGGGTGGCCACAAAAACACTCCCTGATTTCCAACAGGTATAACATGTAACTTTATTGTAATAATCTTTCACAGTTAGTAGCTTCAGATGCAGGATTTCATTCAGTTTCATGTGGTATAGGATAGCATTAAAGGCACTCAATGTGTGCCCCTCTTGTTGCTCGGCAAACATCGATGTAATAGTCCAGTTTGGTCCAGACGCTCTGCAGCACATCTGGAGTTATTGTGCGAACTGCTTCAGAGATCAGATATTTCAGCTCCTCCAGGGTTGCAGGTAGTGGTGGTACATAAACTGTGCTCTTCATGTACCCCAAAGAAAGAAGTCACAAACAGTTAGGTCCGGTGACCTCACAGGCCACTTGGAGAGGTAACCGGACCTAACTGTTTGTGACTTCTTTCTTTGGGGGTACATGAAAAGCACAGTTTACGTACCACCACCACCACCTGTAACCCTGGAGGAGCTGAAAATTCCGATTACTGAAGCAGTTCGCACAATAACTCCAGATGTGCTGCAAAGCATCTGGACCAAACTGGACTATCACATCGATGTTTGCTGAGCAACCAGAGGGGCACACATTGAGTGCCTTTAATGCTATCCTATACCACATGAAACTGAATGAAATCCTGCATCTGAAGCTACTAACTGTGAAAGATTATTACAATAAAGTTACATGTTATACCTCTTGGAAATCAGGGAGTGTTTTTGTGGACACCCTGTGTAGTGGTACCAACACTCTTATATGGGTGTGTAGCATGGGTTGTAAATGCTGCAGTGAGGAGAGGCTGGAGGCAGTGGAAATGTCATGTCTAAGGACAATGTGTGGTGTAAATATTATGCAGAGAATTCATAGTGTGGAAATTAGGAGGTGTGAAGTTAATAAAAATATTATTCAGAGGGTTGAGGAGGGGTTGTTGTGATAGTTTGGTCATTTAGAGAGGATGGAGCAAAATAGAATGACTTGGAGGGTGTATAAATCGGTAGTGGAGGGGAGGACAGGTAGGTGTTGTCCTAGGAAAGGATGGATGGAGGGGGTAAAAGAGGTTTGTGTGCAAGGGGCTTGGACATACAGCAGGGATGTGTGAGCATGTTGGATAGGAGTGAATGAGACAAATAGTTTTTGGGAGTTGACGAGCTGTTGGAGTGTGAGCAGGGTAATATTTTGTGAAGGGATTCAGGGAAGCTGGTTAGCTGGACTTGAGTCCAGAAAGTGGGAAGTACAGTGCCTGCACTTCAAAGGAATAGTTTGGAATAGTTGCTGTTTGGAGTGACATCTGAATTGTTGTATCTGCGCTCCTCTGCAAAGAATGATTGTGTGAATGACGGTGGATTTTTTTTTTTTTTTTTTTCACCCTGCCTCTGTGAGAGATGGCCAGCATGTTGAAAAAAAAAATGTAAGGTGATGAGTATATCTTACAAACTTTTGCTTTTTGTGTGCTTTTCTTTATTTGATTAGTACAGTGTTTCACAGTTAACTGTAGTACAGTTAACATATGTGAGGACATTTGTGGACATGCTCATGGTGTGAGCTTGTCATCACTACCATCACAGAACTGATACACCCAGTTCCTCCCTGAATGCTCGCACATGCTGATGGCTTTTACTATTTCCTTTATTTGATGGCCTGTCTTATGTAATCCAGTGATCTGTGCAATTGTCATGTCAGCGATTTATTCTTGCCCACAATAATTCGTGTATAGCAAAAATGTGTGACAAACTTGGCTCTGAAGACCACACAACACAGGGAGACCATTGACACGCATCTATTCACCACTCAAGCCTTGAAGCTTGTAACCTTAAGTAATTCTGTGATGTCCCACTATGTGTAGCCAGGCCAGCATTGATTTGTTTCACTGGAACATCTAACAGGGTCGACTATTATTTTGATAATGAAGTGTGTGCCTCCTGGCATACATACTTTAATGATGAGCACCGTATTTCCTTTCCATTTTGAGGCCTGATCTGTGACTGGGCTTTGGAGGTGATGTTCTCTAAATCATTAACATAGAGAAGAGCATTGGCTTAGAAATAATGCCAAATCTTACCTAATGTATCTAATAGGCCTATAACAACCTGATGGAGATCAGGTAAGGGAATTGTAGTCACACTGCATGTTCTTAAACTTCAAGAAGGCCTTCCAAATGACTGATATGCAACTGGAGAGGCAGACTAGAACAACAGACCCAGTGTTTGCATTAAGGAATACAGTAGCTTGAGGACAGAAACCTATCATTGGAAAAGGCAAATCATGAACATAGGTGAATGTAACCAGCAGAGTAACATAATGGCCAGTGCTAAGCCCCACTATTTCTAGTATTGTATATATAAATGACCTACCATGGAGACTTGACTACATATCAATATTCGTGGATAATGCAAAACTAATAAAAAGAATACAGATTGGCTGTAGGATTGGTCAAGAAAATACTAAGTACCTGCAAGTGCAAGGTCAATTAAGAAAGGTCAGTCATTGTACTACCTGAAGTGGAAAAGACTTATGGAATCAAAGTACAAGACCTGGAAGCAGACATACCTTACCTGTCCCCCGAAGTACACAGAAGCAGGAGTGTATCAGCGGCGTATGGTAAATTAGTAAACCAAAGATAAGTTCACAGGACCCATGTGGTCAAATTACTATTCACAATGCATAACTACTACTAGCGAACCCACACCAGCCAAGAACAAAAAAAAAAATTAAAAGATAGTACAAGGGTTCACCACCAACTGGGTACAAAAGCCAAAAGGCAAACATGAGGAAAGATTAAATGATCTCAGCATTATCACTGGTGAATGCAAACCAAGAAAACACTTGATACCCCCTCCCCCTTCAAAAGACAGGGACTCTTGATCCAGAGACTTGGATCTGACCTTACCTACCTTGGATTGAACCTGACTTCCTCCAATTTCCTAAGGCACTGTATTACCCCTATGGGTTTAGTGCTCTTTCAACCCCTTTCCCTTGAACATAATGTTTATAAAGAGGAGACTTTATTACATGCAAAATCCTCTCAGGGATGTAACAGTCATATTCATCTAGGAAAAAAAATTTTAGTAGTAAAGAAGTGAATGACCTTGGAAGTAATCTAGTAGAGGCTGACTGTACATGGATTAAAGAGTAAATATAAGCACTAGAGTACATCACTGGATTGAGAGGTTGACCCAAGATCTATAGCTCAATCCTTGCATACTCAGCAAAGGATCAGGGCAAAATTTACACCTAGCAAAGCACATAGGAAGCTAGAGAAAGTCCAGAAATTAGCTCATTTCTCATTTTACATTCTTATTTCTACATGTATATGATTAATAAACATTTTTATTTCACACATTCTTCTGAATGCAATCAGATGGTGAGTGCTTCATATATATGATATACGTTAGCTAACAGTCGTTTGAAATTCTTTAACGTGTTTCAGGTTATTCTTTAATCTTCAACATTTGTAGGCATCTGAAATGTTTGGAGAGTGACTGTAAGTGAAGAATAGTTCCCAGATGGGTATATAATGTTAGGAGATCTTGTACAGATGAGACCATTTACTTACAGCAAAATAGTGGAAACATTATTGTCAGATAACTCATTCCTGGTGCTCAAAGAAAACAAGTATATTTTTATTTATGCAAAAGTTTTTCATACCTTGGAAAGTTTAAATTTGGCATAGGTATATGGCAACCCCTTCACTCAGTATTGCAAACAATCTTTCATTGTTTAGGGATAATGGGAGAGGAAGAATAATACTGAATAATTAATAATAAAGGTTGAATGAAAAAATATCGTAGATGTGATTCAATTCTCAGGCGAATATATTTAAGGAGCACAAAGAATACTGCAGGAGAGCTTGGTGAAAGGGGTGTCATTCTCGACTATACAAAAAATGCATGTGTTGTGTCTAGATCTAGTCAGAAAATGCTTTTGTATTAAAGTCTTTTTATGATTCAAATAATAAATCTTGGCTAAATTAAATATCTAATATTGCTCTCTGTATTGCAGCAAATGAAGATACCCAAACAAAAGAAGAAGATTGTCCAAGGACAAGTAGGATCCCCCTCTTGCTGAAGTGAGGACATGGCTGGTATTTCTGAAGCTAGATACGAATCCTTCAGCAAGAATTCTCTAGGATTGGTGGAGTGTTGCTATGAGCAGACAGCAGTGTATATCAGTATTAGAAAAAACAGTGCAATAAGACGTTCCCTCATATGCTGTCTGTCTCCCTCTGTTCCTATGGTGGTAGTACTGGTGATGTGATGCCAGCTTCCACTCTTTCTTTTATAAGTTACCTCTGCCTGACCACTAGACTTAAGTTTTTAGGAAGCAATGATGTAGAGAGCCAAGACTCTTAACAAATTCAAAGTTTTGTCCTCTGTCCATTTCATTGGAGCTCGTTTCCTGAATGTAGCTCAGTGTGGATGGACTCAAGATCTCAGCCTTTGGCAACCCATGATTATTTCTTTTAACTTACAGAGATTCTGTAGGCTGTTTTGTTAAGGTCAATTTTGTTACTTTTATTGTACTGCTTATAACAATGACTAGTGATAAAATAAGCACTGTGGATTGTCAGTAACAGCTGTAACTCCAGAGGATAGCTGAATGCAATGAATGTGTGATTTTTAGGGTGATGAAGTCCCCCCATCCCCTTTCCCAGTGAGAAAGTCTCCTGGTAGTATTGTCAGGGACAGAGGGTGGTGTTGTGGCTTGCCCACTAATATGGTGTGGTCTGTGTTACAAGTCTACCCACCCCATGGCAGACATTTGCCCACCCACATTGCGGTGCCCACACTTTTCTACACCAACACCTCTATTGTATATGTAGATTGTATATATTGGTGAATGTTTTTAAATGTACAAAGTACAGCAAAGTTAATATTTTCTGTGTATTTCTGTATAGATGACTGCAAGTAGAGCAGATCCTGTAAATTATAAGCTTAAAGTGTAGAACCTATGAAGGTGAAACTGCGGCTGTATTTATTGTAAATATTGTAATCTGTTGTATAGACTACCACTACTGCAAACAACCTCGTTACTGATGTTTGTTTCTCCACATCCTGTGCCCAATGCCATTTTTCTCTAGACACCTCACTTGCACTTCTTTCCAGACCTATCTTATTTGCTAACTTGTTTGGCTTGTTCATGCCTTGCAGTAGGAGACTTGTTTTAGGCGTATATGCCTTTTTGAGAGATCATTTCGTTTTATGAATTTGATCGTGGTTTTTGCACAGGTTAGGATTTTACTCCTCTATTCGAAGGCATGAGCAATGTAAAATATTTGTAATCTATCCTGATATATTTTTTTTAGCTTAATGGCATGAAAATTATTCTTTAATGGCCCTATTGATTCTATTGTAATGTAAGATTTCATATTTTACATTGTTATGAATAACAGTTTTAATTATATACATTGACTTTCTGTACAGAAGATTTTAATAGTCCTATTTTCTCAAACCTGTATTGCAATAATTACACTGAGCATGTCGAGAGTCTTGATTTGTCCCTTGGTGTATTGGGTGATTGTTCTTAAAGATGTTTACAAGTCTTTAATTCATTTAGTCTGTTTCATACCTGTTTTGGGGTTGGTGTCACGCAGATTTACTCATTTGTTATATTATTATACTAAGTATATGCACGACCCTGTCCTTTTTATCTTTATTTCTTACAAGAGATTATTTACACAATCTCTGGCAAGGATACAACCATCGTCTCGGATTTGTCAACCAAGGTGCACCGTAAGCAGAAATATTATAGTAAAAAAATGTGTGTTTTGTATTTTTCTAAAGTTGCTGTTGGATAGAGATATGGCTGTATGTCTATCTGTTGTGGCGTGAAAGCCCCAGATAAGGTGTATCATGTTACTGATGGAGTAAACTGACCAATAAGTCAGGCCAGTCTTTGGTGTCTCCCTTTCCCAGTCACAGATGGCTACATAGCCTGCCTCCACTCATTCTAAATGTGTGCTTTACTCTCTCATTTTTCTGAAGGAAGACTTATTTCTTCCCAGTTGCACCAATCATTGTTCTTATTCCTTGACATTTTTATTTTTTTTTAGATTGTCGGAATGGAGAGATTAAACTTTTAACTAGGGTGTTGGGCTCTTTAAAAAAAAATTCAATTCACACAAGCAGCAAGAGTTTTTGTTAATGCAATATCAACGCATTTGAAGAGTTTCTCAAAATGAGAAAGAAGTATTCTAAAAAGACAAAATGCAATCTCTCTAATATATGTTTAATGGAAACATTTCAGTCCTGGGACCATGGTCATTTATTTGGAGTGACCAGGGTCACAAGGTTGAAGTGCTTCCATTGAACATGTTCTGAAGTAACTGCCTTTTGTCTGTTTCATCATCTGTCAGCATCATATACATTTATATATCCACAGAAAAAAAGTATGCTGATAAATTTTAGTAACTGAGTAATACCTAAATTTTTATATTTATAAGTAGTTTTATTTTTTTAATTTTTCAGAAATAAACTTTAAGGTTTTCCTGTGAATAAGTTACTTAATTGTTCTAAGTGTTCTTTCATCGGTCTCAACAAGTCAAGATAAAGCATTCAAAAGAGCTAAGTGCACGATCGATGACATCGAGACTTATAAATGGGTTAATTTATTAAATTTTGCTTCCATAATCTTTAACTTGATTAAGGGATGAATTTCAAAACATGACTAACAAAGAAGACAACATTAATGCACTTTCATTCCTTGGCAAGACATCTGGGCCTTACAAACTTAAGACTTTTTGAATGCTTTAACAGGTTATTCAATAAACAATTATTAAATGGTATAGTTATTCAAGGTTGTTCATGGAAATGTAAGAGAAATTGGCAACTCTTAAATTGTTTATATTTTTTTTTTTCATACTATTAGCCTGCATCATACCTGTCAATATGGCATACACTAAGTTTTTAGTCACCAGCAACATTACTGTTGTTTATAACTACGGTACCTTTCATTGCTTTTCTTAGCATTTTCTTTTTCTCATGTTCTTATTTTTGCCACCCTCATTTCTTCATTTTTCAACATGTTTTTGAGTTGAACATTTGTACTAATAATGACCTCTCAACATCTGGTAACAGTAAATGAATATAGAATAATTCTTAAAAAGGGGGGGGGGATGAAATGCTGTTGAATCATTAGTGCATGAAGGTTTGGAGAAAATTATTCAAGATTTCTTTTTAAGGAAGTTCCTGTATAACTATTGAACAATGGGGGGAAAAAATTTGTACTGCCAGTAGATCAGGTATGAAATTTTGCAGCTCAGTTTCTTTGCATAAGACAAAATGGATAAATATATATATGTATTTGAAGTTTTTAGTTATTTGATGTGTAATCATATAGTTTTGGGTGATGTCCTGAAGTTTGATTCAATGCCAGTTGCTAGTTTTTAGCCTCTGTACCAATGAGTTACTCAAAATTGTGGGAAAATTGAATTTTTTTTAGCCCTAGACAAACTGCTGCAGTCTGATGCCAATATCAGGTTAGGACTTCTTTCTGATACAGGCAAAAATTAAGCTGTTATCTATATATGCTTTATTTTTATGTAAAATTTATAACACAGATTGGCTTATATTGGTACATAAGCAAATATGTTAGAGAGATAGTTGTTGAAAATGTTTTTCACAGTATAGTATTGAAGTGTGTGGCCGGGGCTCCTTGTAGCAGTGTTTAGGGCAAAAGTTAACAATTTTAAAGAAACTGACAAAATCCCAGAATTAATTTTCCATTCCTAAGTGTTCAGTACATTTAGTTGGGCTAGGCATATTGTTAGAGGTTTTGAGTAATACTTTTTCCCCAGACATTATCTTTACCTCTTGAAAAGGGGGAGAAAAAAATGTGAGTACTTCAGTTCCTTTCCTCTACTGTACATTTTGTTTTCTTAAGCTGTGGGTTGGACTCCTGATTTCTCCTCTATTTTAAGGGGGCCGTCCAGAGATATAGTATATGTTTAACTGAAAAAAGTTACTGACCAATTTTACTGAAAAATCATTTAGGATATACAGTGCTATTGAATTATCTTTAATATAAAATTTAATTCTGATCCGAGCAGTAGTTTTGGAGTTTGATTCCTCCCCTCCCCCTCCAAAAGAGAATAAAGAATATTAACCTAAGACAATTTAGCTTGAAACTAACAACTTACACAGCCCCATCCCCAATGTTATTTTCTGTGTGTTTAACCATTTACAAGCATATTTACTGGAGTGAGTGGAGAGATGAATTTTTTTGTTTTTTGACACATTACTGCAGTGTGAGTAGGGTAGCATCCACAGAGGTATTTAGGGAAACCATTTAGCTGGACTTGAATTATAGACATGGGAAATGTAGTGCCTGCACTTTGAAAAATGGGTGGAGATACACTTGAGGGACCATTTGAATTGTGATGCTTGTGCACTGCTGAAAAACAGCTATAGAGTGAGGGGGGGTGAAATGTTTTCTTTGGGGTCACCCTGCCTTATGGGAACCAGATGATGATTCAAAAAATACATTATGCTAATAGTGGTCAAGAAGAATATGCAAACAAAATATTTGTATGTACAGGAAATCCCCTCTTATGGGATACATTTCTGAAAATCGGCACCTCGAGAAATAACAGAACGCACAAGTTTAAAATGGTTGTGTTCCAAAGACCTCCAAATTTTCAAGAAAAACATTAAGTATTCTACTAGGTCTAAATTACTACAGTTCATATTGCCTTGCAGTCTAGTTGCTTGAAATAGAAGTCCTCTCAAGGGGGGCTCCTTGGCGTGGTGAAGAGGCTCTTGGTCTGAGGAATTAGACCTGTCGGTCTTCTTCCTCAGACCGAACCTAATTACCCCCCATTCTCCCCTCCCCTATCCCATCCTCCCCTTTTTCCATTCCTCCTCCTCCTCCCCACCCCTCCCTTTTGCCCTTCCTCTTTTTGGCCTTTGGGATTTCTCCCACAGGCACGCTAGTTCCTAGGTAGGGGAAAGGACACCGGGGTCCATCCCATTCCGTTGAGGTTCTTGGCAGTGGCGTAGTTTGCATGGAATACTGGATCGCCTGGGGATGTCCCGATCCCCTCCGGTATCCCGGAGTAGCTTTGGGTGTCTTTCGGGCGACGGGTGTATCTCTGGGAAGCACCTTTCGGATTCGGGGGTGGTGGCCGAGGAGGTATGCTTTGTGGGGATATCCGGCCGCCCTCTCTTTTGTCCACCGAGGTAGCTCGGCAGATGTGAGGTTGCTATCCCGGATTGCTGGTTTACTGGCATGAAGGGTAGGGTATGGCACGGGCTCCATGCTGCATCTGCGCTACTAGCGGTGCTGAGGTCCACTTGGGCCGGAGGGAGATTTCGGCCCTTTCATTCCTCCTGGGTGAACTATTCCTCCCCGCTCCCCCTTTTTTATTCTTTTTTTATTTTTATTTTATTTTCTTCTTTCTTTTTTTTTCTTAAAAAAAAAACCCCCCGGGAACCCAAACCCTGGAGAACCCCAATTCTAAAACCCCCCCCGGGGTTTTTGTTTAGAAAACCCTTTCTGCCCTCCCTTGTTTTTTAAAAACCACTCTTCGGACATTGATTTTCCCCGGTTTGTGTTTCCTCCCCCCGCTTAAGGTCCCGGGGGTTCGACTGACTCTTCGATTTGTTAAACTCCGTTTCCCCTTTTTGATATGCTTCCCAGCTTTCCCCCCAAAAAACCCGGGGCCAAAGGGTTTTTTTCAAAATTCCCGCCCATTTAAAGGGCCGGACCAACCCCTTTCCCTTTTCCCCAAAATTCCCAAAAGGGTAAATTCCCCTGATGAGCTCCTTTGTTCCCTTCCCATTCTACTGGAAAAGCCAAACACTTTCAACACTCCCTCCCCGCTCATTTTTTTGGAAACCACAAAAGGGAAAAATTCTTTCTTTAAGACAAAACCTTCTTCTCCCTCCCTTTTTCTGACCAAAAGTATTGGCAAAGCGCCCCTGGTTTTTTGGGTAGGGGGTTTTTTCCCTTTTCATGCTTCAAAAGCGGTCCGGAAATTGTCATGCCCAGTTTTGCTCCCCAAGCTCTGATCTTTCTCCCCTTTCGAATAGCGAAAATTTCTACTATCATTTTGAAAAAATCTTTCTCTAAATTTTTTGGTAGTGGTATGTATTCCCCCCATACCATAGCCCAAAACAAAATTTCCCCAAGTCTTTGTGGCAATGACATTCTTAAAACAGCGGAAATTTCCCAGGATTCCCCTCCAAAGGTAAAAAAACTTATGTCCTTCCTGCCCGGGGGCGGGGACGTTCCCCTTCAATGGGGCCCTCTTTTTTTTAATTTTGGACACCCGGGAACCCCCGTCCTCTGTTTTAGTCGGGGGAATGGGTTAAAAGTTCGAAAGGTGTTACCTACACCGAAACAATGTAAAAATTGCGGGGTTTTTTGGTCCCAAAAGGGGAAATATTGCAGATTAGGGCCCCCGGGCCCCCAGTCTGTGGTGCCGAGGGCCCTTTTAATCCCTTTCTTGCGGGTTAAACCTCCATCTAGTTAAATTTGGTAATGAAGCTCCCCTTGTACCCACCGTTGCCAGGTCTACTTAATGAACGTAAAATCCGTTGCCTCAAGAGGCCAGGGGTTTCCCCCTTTTTGGGAAGGGCCCTTTTTTATAAACCCCGCCTCCAAGGGGGGCCCAACCCCGTGTTTTTATTCTGTGTTTCCCAAACACCCCCTATTCGGGGGTTTCCCATCTTCTGCAGCCCTTTGTTGTTACCCCTCCCATAGCACCCCGCCATTAATCCTTTTGCTGCCCTTTGGGGCTCTGAGCCCCGACAAACCATCAGTTGTTTCACACTTGGCCCTTCCTCACAACCCCCAGTATCGAAAAGCCCTCGTACGACACCTAATACAATCCCCCCTCTTTTTTCCCCGAAGTCAAAAAAATCCACTTGTCAAATTTTTTTGCCCCTTCTTTCCTTCTTCCCCCTCACATTTTAAAACCTTTTCCCAGTCTCTGTCCCTAGTTTTTCCCCCCTTCTCGGGGCTCTATTACAAGTGTGGAGATTCCCCCCCTTCCTCGTACTGTCCCTTCCCCCCGCCCCTCCAAGTTTCTCCTCTTCTGCCACCTCCCGGTTTTGTTTCTGCCCCCCCCACACTTCATCCCACCCCCTTTACCTCTTCCCCCCCCCTCAAATTTGGTACATTTCCATTACTGTCCCAATTTTATAAACCCCCTTCCCCCTATTTTCCTTTATTTTCTCCCATACTCTTTAAATTCAAAAACCCTTTTTAAAGGGCCATTTCAAAATATTTTTGCAGAGCTAAACCCTTTTCAATGGACACTGTTTCATTCCTGTTCCTTCTTTTCCCCTTTTCCTCCATTTCACAACCCCTTTCTTCGCAAGCCCCTTTCCCTTCGTGCTTGAAGTCTTCCAATGCCCCAACGTTGACTTTCAAAACCCCTCTAGTCCGTAGGTCCCTTTTTCCTTTCAGATTTGGTATTTTCTTCTTCCCCAAAATTCAGGGCCCTTTTACGGGAATTTCGCGGCCTCAGGGAAATTGGGGATGA